AAATACTTATTTTCTGTGTCTGATCACAGCTCACAGAGTACCTGGTGTTAAATTGTCTGACAATTGAGATGTTACTGTTGCTTATGGGCTCCCAATGACAACCCTTTGTCTTGCCAGTAGTTATCTTTCATGCCATTGTTTCCTTTTGAACAATGAAGTACAAGTTTTGTTGAGTGTATCAACTAATACTTTGAACACTTTAGGCATTGCTTACCAAACACGATGCCATCATGTCAGACTTGAGAGCATATGGAACTGTTGTAGATGGGCTGAGAGAACAAAGTCAACACTGCAAGGTAAGAGTAAGCACAGCAGAAACATAAAGGACAAAAAAAAGAATGAACATCAGATTGGATTTAGCAGTGGTATACTTATTTCCAATGTTTCCAGATCAAATTAAGTTCTGATACTTTCAAATTGTGTTTATCATGTGGAAAGAGGAAATGGGGAAGGGGTGCATCCAAATCACTGCAAGGTGTAATTAGGGTTACATTAGTGAAAAAAGGAGAGTTCCACCAAACCAAAAACATTGATACTGTTTCCTCCAAGACACAGTTGATCTGTATGTAAATTTAAGGGGGGGGGATCTTTGCACCATCTTTGCATCCACCAATGTTTATTATCATGAAATTATCTCCCTCAGCCTGCAGCTCATGTCACAGATATCTCTGACAAGGAATGTGTAGTTGCTCTTTATGACTATCAGGAGAAAACTGCAAGAGAGGTGTCCATGCAGAAGGGTGACATTCTGACCCTACTCAATTCTAGCAACAAGGTAAGTCCTTTTTTTTTCCGACTTATGCTGTACATTTGGTTTAGCTACTCTTGAGGAAAGTGGTACATATATGAACTTCGTAATGGGTCTTGCTCGCTGTAGAGTCTGTGTGGCTTAGTGTTAGAGCATCATAGTGCTGAATATAAAGGTTTGAGAGAATCAATTCTTCATGGGGACTCAGAATTTTTTTCCTTGTCCCACTATCGTGACGTAACGAAAAACATCTTTCTCTACAATTTACATCATCTTAAACCCATTTCACAAGAAAGACCCAGGAAGCATCCTAACTTGGGAATACGAAAATTAAGGGTGAGCAGAAGCAGTTGCCCAAGTACCATTGGTAGAAAGAAAAACTTACAGTATAGTTGGGAAGGTTTTAAATTATTTACCAATGCAAAAAAAATTGTTAAGGTTTAGTTTAACTCAAGTATTAACAAGTGTGATTTATCATGTTTTACAATGGCCTTGTTAGGAGTCAGTTGCAATGAGAATATTAAACGCTTGGTAATATTTTAGTGGCAACCATTGATTCTGTTACACCTTTGATAAAATCTTGTGCACTGATTTCAGGATTGGTGGAAAGTAGAAACTAATGACAGACAAGGTTTTGTTCCTGCTGCATATGTCAAGAGGATTGACTCCCACAAAGCCTCACAGGACCTTCTGTCACAGGCTCCTGAAGTGGACACTGTTGCTAACAGACAGCAGGCTTTGGATGATAAGTGAGTATCAGACTTTGCTGTAACAGTTTTATCCTTCCAAAGATTAACCCTTTATTCCCTAACATCAGAACACATATTCTCTGAACATTTCCTAACATGCTGACAAAGAGAATTTGCTTTACAATCAGGAGCTTTTTTATTTGGTGATCAATTCCTTTATTCTCGTGACCTCCAAGTATGATTCAGGGGATAGATTGTTGGGAGAAATTAGATGCTAGTCACTCTTAGGGCTCAGAGGGTAAAAGCACCGATTTTATGTTCCTTTGAAGAAATTCAATTCCAATAGTAAATGATAAAGATAGTTGAAAAATCAAGAGCTTTTATAGTTGGCAAACTTTTCTTTTACTCTCATAACGTTAAAATTCGATTTGGATACGTAAGAGTGAAGTTAGAAGACAGCCACTCTTAATTTAAAAATGTTCTGTACACTGATGTACCATCAACATCCCTTTCAGAACCTTGCGTTTTAATGGTGTTGAGAACAGGTATGGCTAATTGATAGATAACAAGTAAAATTTTTTTTTTAACAGATACCAAGACCTGATGGACAAAGGCGAAGAACGTAAGAAGAAATTGGAAGATTCTATTCAAAGATACAGTGTGTTGCGGGATGCTCACGAACTGGAGTCTTGGATCAATGACAAGGTTCGTGTATTTTGCAAAGACCTGGCAACTACAAACGTACATTTGTCTTAAAACATAAACACACAAGAGTAACAATTTTCTAAAATCTCTGACAGCGAAGAAAGCTAAGGTTATACTAACACACTCATTTATTGGGTCATATCGCCCACTTTCCATAAGGCTTGCTCGTTATCTGATATGTTTATAATAGAATACATTAACATGACGGACCTTTTCTAACTTTTAGGAAGCAATTGTCACCTCAGAGGAAATCGGAAAGGACTACGAACATGTGGAAGCTCAGCAGAAGAAGTTTGATGACTTTGAAAAGGTACAATGTTTCAACTGACAACATCGTTCGTTAAGCAGTTTTGTAATTGGGTGTCGAAAAATTCTCTAGGTTGCATTGGTTTTGCTTTACTTCGCTCTGTGATTGTCCCAGAAAACTCGTGTCGTCCTCTCGACCAATCAGATTCAAAACTAAAACCAATCGCGTCTTGGCCACTTGTATTTTCCCGCGCTTTAGGCTGTGAACTTGTTTTTACTTTGCGTTCTTATTGGCTCCTTGTGATATTTTCCTCTCCTCTGATTGGCTGTTGTGATTTCTTTGGTTTTTGGTTTTACGACACTCAATCGGAAACCCTCGATAATGTTCAACATAACTAACCAAACATTTGCTTATCACGCAGGATATGATTTCTAAAGAGGTTCGTATCAGAGAACTTACGTTACTGGCTGAGAAACTAAAGATTGAACACTACAGAGAATATGAGATGATCCGAGAGATGATTGAGGTGAGGAATAAATAATTGTGTTGTGTGTTTTCAAACGCAAGCAGAGTGATATACGTTGCTGAAAATATGACGACAGAGAGTGCACAGTGTATTAAGCGTCACACTCTCTTCTCTGTTAATATTTGGCTTTCTTCATGCCATTTATAAGTCTTAACTAAGAAACATTGTACGCTTTCTCTCTGAGATGATTCCTCCACGCAGAAAAAACCCCTCTTAAAGTTTAGTCGGTCGTAGTGCTTAACTAGTATTGAGTGGCACGGGTTCGAATCCCGTCAAAGCTTGAGTTTTTCCAGGATTCCTTTGTACAATTGCATAAATTGTAGCCCACATACCAGAATTATTGCTCTACTTGATTTTAAATCCGCAGTCAAATGAAATTTCTTTCATGTCAAATTGTATCTAATGAAGAGAAGTTGCTTTAGAATATGTGTCACTAGAGACTGACTGTGTGTGACCTTGTCTGAAAAGCGAGAAGAGTTGACTGTATCACCCACGAAATTTTAATACGCATCGATTGTTACAGTGTGAAGCATATTTTTTAACTACAGGTGAATACAGTAACTGTGGTTACTACAAAAATCCTTGTAAGTGACTCATCAGAGTTGATAACGTCTGTCCCTTTGTTTCTGTAATGCAGCGTGTGGTAAATTTTGGAATAAAAACATTATGGCTTTGTAGTTGTAAGCTGCTAACTGGTATAGATTGCTCGGGTCAATAAACAATTCATCCTATTTTTTAATGGCCTTTAACAGAGGCTGAACCAGAAATGGACCAATCTTAAGACCATGTCAGAGCAGAGGAAGGAAAATTTGGATAATGCTCAGGAAATTCAGAAATTCCACAGGTATTGTTGAAATATAAAATACAATTACATGTATTTTCTTTTTAAAGCTCAATAAAAATACAATTACATGTACTTTCTTTTAATACCTTTGAACCTCAATTCAATCAGAAGTCAAAGAACTAGAGAATTGCTTTGGCATTCTTGTCAGAATTAATTTTGGAAGATATTTCTTGTTGTCATGATTAAGTTTCTCAACACTTCGTTCACTACAACTCAGCACAACTTTAGGTGGGCTGAAGATTTTTTCCAGTTTGCTAAGAGATTCTTTCGTAATAATTTTTTCCCCAAAATAATTCAGGGATGCTGATGACACCAAGGCTTGGATTTCAGAGAAAGACACTGCTCTTTCCACCTCAGATTATGGTCGGGATTTGGCTAGTGTCCAGGCCTTGCAGAGAAAGCATGAAGTTTTGGAGAGAGACTTGGCCGCATTGGAAGAGAAGGTATGGTAACTAGTTCGTCTCCCAGAGCACTTACTTTTATAATGGATATACCGGCGAAAATTCCCTGTCGAATGGAATATAAGTTTTAAATCTGGATTGATATCACTCTGTTACTGAAAAATGACATTTTTTTGTCGTCATCAGGTTCGTGAACTCAACGTGGAAGCTGCTAAGTTAACATCCAGTCATCCGAATGCAGCACAAGACATTGAATGGAAGAGACACGAGCTAGAAGAAGCGTGGGCTAATCTCAGAGAACAGGTACACCAACTTCTATAACTCCAATTGAAGTTATCCTTTATACCTTCGCTGTCCAGATCTGACCTCAAATTCTCGTTTTAAGCCTGAACGGACCATTTCTTGAAAACTTGGAAGAATGCCAGGTCACTTTATCAAGATATTTTTAATTGACGGAACTTTATTTGACTCTCATTGCCACACTTTGCGTTTTCATTCGGTTTTTAAGTGAGGTTATATGTAAATCAGTCTTTTAATGGTGAAAGGGATGGTAGCAATTTTTTTGTATTCGTCTTAAATTTTAGGCGGCTGCAAGAAGGGGCAAACTGAGTGACTCGTCAGATTACTTCCATTTCCTCAACGAATTCAGGTAAGTGATGGGCTTGTCATTTGGTGAACATCCTAACAAATTGTTTTTATTTTTTATTCGGTGTAAGGTGTTTGGTCCAGACACAAGTTTCTGTTAGGTAGCATGTAATTTTTTTTCTTTTCATATTTCAGAGATCTTACTTCATGGATCAATGGTATTATGGCATTGGTAACTTCTGATGAACTTGCAAAGGATGTGGCCAGTGCAGAAGCTCTGTTGGACAGGCATCAGGTATAGAATGAATACTTTTACAGAGATTTCACTCAGACTTCAGGGCCTAAACGTTGTCTTCCTTTTTCCCCACATTGCTCTCTTCGCTGCAAAGGTATTCAATATCGAAAATTACTTTCATATTTCAATACAAGTCTGCGATGTCTTTTGAACTAGACAACCGAATGAGCTGTTAATTATCAGCTTTGAATGTTCTTTGCATATAAACCAATTCTAGAGCGACAAGAAATTCTTTAGGTCGTGTAGTCTGCTCGTCCGGGTCAGAATGGTTCTGGGAAGGACTGTTTTTGGTAGCGTTCACTGACGTTTCGACAACCTTAGCGGAAGTAATTATCACCCGTACGAGCAGACTACACGATCAACTTTAACTCCGAGCTTGGAAACATTTACAGGAAATATATTTTGAGCCTATTTCGAGGTATTTGCATCAAGTCGACTATACTTTAATATGTAAAAAAAAAATAAGTTGTCTTTCCTGGTGCAATCCAATCATACAAAATACACATATACAGGCAAACGTCACTCTGCTTTTATATTTCTTAACTGTGCAAAATTTTATAGACATATGAATTGAATTTATGGTTGGGATTTGCTTTGTTACAGGAACATCGCGCAGAAATTGATGCGCGTGACAGCGAGTTCCAGTCGTTTGAAGATTTCGGCAAGAAATTATTGGACAAAGAACATTATGCTAGTCCCGACATCCGTGAAAAACTGGAGACCATGGCTACAGAACGAGAAGAACTGGAAAAGTAAGGCCATTAAGTTTAAGAATTTGATCTCTTAAGTGAAAACAATTCCTTATGGATGAATGATAGCGCTGGGATCTGCTAAACACTTTCATTTATATGTCTCTGTTTCGTCGAACCAAAGGCGCATTGCACACTGTTGTTTTCCGGTAGTTTGCGATCGCATACGCCAGAATTTTCATTTCATCAGTACTTCCCTTTTTGTCTCCTTTATAAAGTTAAGATGCGGTGATTATTGAAAATCAATTCCTTTTCAGGGCCTGGGCTTCTCGCAAGCAAAGACTCGATGAATGTTTGGAGTTGCAGGTTTGTGAACATTCATATTGTGATGGTGTCCAGAACCAACCAATTTTTTGTATCTAAGCTTTTTTTGCTGTGTGGCAATGAACACAAACACGATGAAAAATTTTGTCGTCCCAAAGTCAAGTGGGTTTGAATTAATTGGCGAAAGTGATCCTGCGTTGAATTAGATTTGCTTCACTGCGCTTTGCAATTCGTCCTAAGTCAGCCAATCAGATGCAAAGCTGAAACCAACCGTGACTCAGTCACTTGTTTTTCTCCCGCGCTTATGGCCGTTTTTAGGTTCTAAGTTCTTATTGGTTCCCTGAGATATTTTCCTTTTCCCTGATTGGTCATTTTGATTGCTTTGGCTCTGATTTTACGACAATCAGTTGGAAAGTGCTCTGTAATTGAAGGCTTTATGGCATTATTTGACGTACGGCTTTAATGTTAACAGTTATTCAATCGAGATGCCGAACAACTGGAGCAGTGGATGGCGACACGTGAGGCCATCATTCAGAGCGAAGATGTCGGAGAAGCAGCGGAGGGTGCTGAAGCTCTGATCAAGAAACATGAAGACTTCACAAAGACACTTGCAGTGCAGGACGTGAAGATCAATGCTCTGAAAGACAATGCTGATCGGCTGATTGATAACAATCATTATGACTCTCCAGCTATTGCAGAGAGGATTTCTGCAGTCTTAGCGAGGTGACCTGAAAGTTATCTTCAAACACGGATAATAATCTCAATCTTTTTGTTCGAATGTAGAGCTTGACGTGTAACCACTACTTTACGTGGAAATACACTATTTAAAGATTTTTTTTAGCCAGTTTTCGCGTCATTTCCGATTAATATAGTCAGAGATACATTTAATTCTGTTTCTAATTTTAATTTTTCGATGAAACAAAGGCTCTTTTCCAGTTTATCTCAAGAATACCTCTGCAAAGAAATTTGCTTGGAAATTTTAAATTTGGTTTTTGCTTCTTGAACGTAACTGAGTTTCCTCACTTACGACTTTCGTTGTGGAAGATTTTTCACTCTGGCGATCAAAGTACACTTTTCCCAAGTTTCAAATTTTTATTATTTTGTTGTTTTGTGTCTCAGATGGGCTACTCTGAAGGCAGCCTTGGTTGAACGCCGATCAAAACTGGGTGAGTCCAAAACCATTCAGCAGTTCAGTCGTGATGCTGAGGACATTGAAGCATGGGTCAGTGAAAAGTTACAGACAGTGCTGGATGAATCTTACAAGGATCCAACCAACTTACAGGTATTTTTTCTGCCATCAACTAATGAGCCTGTGAACAGGCTGTCATTTCTGCTGCAACACGAGTGACCTAGCTTTCGGATTTGAGCCGGCGAGCGAGGTGGGCGTGCGAAAGGTCTGTAGAAGTACGGAAATGAGTGCCACACCGACCCGTCACAGACCTCTCGCGCCGAGAGGTCTCGTGACTCGAATCTCGCGGGTCAGCCGCTCGTGTCGCAGCGTTCGTTGGCTGAATATAAGCTCTACAGATTATCCTCCCAGCTTAGTGCTTTAGTTTAGAATTTTCACTCTTTTGCCAGTTCAGGGTCAAGTCCCAGCTGGGTCATTGTGTCATGTTTGTTGCAAGTAGGATAATTGTGCCTACTGTTTATTTTCAGTCCAAGTTCCAAAAGCATCAGGCGTTTGAAGCTGAAGTCTCAGCCAATCAGGAGAGAGTCTTGGAGACCATCAACCTAGCTGAAGGTAAGCAGCACTGAAATAGTTAATAACAAAATGGCTTGAAGTTAACATGTTAATTCAAGCACGTGATTATAATTCGAGAAAGTGATCGTCAAATGGTTCGTGTTTTTGTTCACGTAGGTCTCATTGAGCAGCGCAAGTGTGCCGGAAGTGAGGAGATTGTGAAAGAGAGAATCACCAAACTTCAGCAGCAGTGGGAATACCTAGTACAGAAGTCCAATGAGAAGAGTCAACATCTGAAGGAATCTAATCAACAACAGCAATTTAATACAAATGTTAAGGAACTGGATTTCTGGCTGGGAGAGGTGAGAACGCCACGCACATAAATATGTCTTTGAAATTGTCATCTTCTCTCGATTTGCGACCTGGACACGGCAAAAATCGGCGTTTTTGCTTTGTATTTTGGATATAAGGTTACACTGAACCCAAGGCCATGCTTGGGATAAATCCCCAAGAGCTACACAATCAGACTCGATTCATCTACGGTAGTTTACGAATAGACTCACCGGAAGTCAAATCGTGTGTTAACATACCGGAAATCGAGAGGTGTGAACAGTATGAGAAAATGAGCAGCATGAGAAAACGTCAAGAGGAGGAGCGCGCGACTACCCTCTCGCGTTCGCCTCGCCCTAACTTTCGCTCCCCGGAAAAATGCTATTAAACAAAATGTTACCTGTTCTGTTGGCGTCAATTGTTGGGGAGTAATATGAAGATAAAAGGTTGTAAAGGATATCTAGAACTGCGGCTAAGTTCAGGTTGATACCCACAGAAATACAGTGTGGTTAACATTCGGGCTGTTTTCATTATTTCCCTTGAAATGTTCTCTTGTAGGTTGAAGCTTCCTTGTCTCACGATGATCATGGTCGAGATCTGGCCAGTGTTCAGAATCTGATCAAGAAGCACCAACTTGTTGAAGCAGATATTGCTGCTCACGAGGTTTGTCAGAAGTTAACTACTGGTTAAGGCACGTTTGCTCTCGAGGTTTGAAGATGAGAAAAAAATATATTTTGCACTTATTCTGTGATGATTGGTTTTTTTTTCAGGATCGTATCACTGATCTTCAAGCCCAAACCCAGCACTTCGCTGAGGTTGGCCATTTTGATGCTGACTCACTGCAAGACAAATCCCGCATTATTGCAGAACGCTACGACAAGTGAGTTAACATTTTACCAACATTTTGTTTTCGTTAGTTAGTATTATTTTTTATTTAGGAAGAGAAACGAGATGAGCTACACGACCACTTTGACCCTAACACGACCCTTTGCAAATATTTATTCGCACCCGAAAACCCCTGCTATCGTTATTATTAGATACTTCGAACCACGTTTGCGGCAAATGGGAAAGTCCAATTCATTTCTTATTTCGTTTACGTCTCCTCCAGTCCTGTTTTCGAAAAGCAGAAAATGGTTAGTGTAATGTCTCCTTTTCACATGAAATGCAGATACATACATTTTCAATTTATTTAGCTTAGGGCTGAAAGAAAAAACTAGGACAACTGTGGTTCATTGTGTGCCTTTTGCCATTCGCGAATGCGTTTTTCTAGTCTTCTTTATGAACAAAATATTTTCCTCTGTTTTGAATAAATATTATTGAAATATTGTATTGTTTTAATTTTACCTTTGTAATCTATTTTATTTTATTTTATTTCATCGATTGATGTATTTTTTCTGCTCAGAGTAAAAGACATGGCCGCAGATCGCCATAAGAAGTTGGACGAGTCCAACGCTTTGCACCAGTTTTACCGGGATGTGGACGACGAAGAGTCCTGGATCAAGTAAGTGGCCACTTTGTGAAGAGCCTGTCTTAACATAAGTGGAAACTAAATTTTTGCCGGTGTGTTTCATTAGGGAGAAAAAGCTATTGACCAGCTCTGAAGATTATGGAAAGGACTTGACTGGTGTACAAAACCTACGTAAGAAACATCAGCGTTTGGAAGCTGAACTGAACACCCATGAGGCCAGAATTCAGGTCAGGAAACAAAATTCGTACTTCTTTCTGATAGTGTAATAAACAGGTAGTTTACTAGGGCGCGTTAGATAATAGATAGTCTATAGCCAACTCGGCGCTTTGCGGTGAACGAGTCCGTTGCAGCTTGGATGGGCCTTTCGAAACTCTAGAATTGCAATATCCTTTGATGTAGTTTTAAAAAGTTAAAAATGCGTGTAGAAGTTTTGTTCACTTGCGAATAACTTTTTGTTTCTACAGGCTGTACTATTGTGTGGCCGTAAATTTATTGACGAAGGACACAGTAGCTCTGATGAAATCAAAGCTCGCTGTGATCAGCTGCAGGAAAACTGGGACGAACTGAAAAACCTGGCAGAGCAGAGGTTTGTTTGTATTCAGTTACATGCGTAACAGTTTGTACAGTATGAGGATTTATTTAGTTTCCGTGATAAATCTGACTTGTTCTGAACGATGTTTGCGGTTTTATTTTTTAGGCAGCACAAGCTAGATGAGTCTCTAGAATATCAACAGTTCAGCGCTAATGTCGGTGAAGAGGAATCTTGGATTAATGAGAAGAACACTCTTGTTGGAAGTGACGACTATGGTGATACACTGGCTGCAGTCCAAGTACGTTAATTGTCCCCCCTGATACTTAGGGTTAGGTGTAGGGTCAAACAAAGTTAGTATTTTAACCCTTTCTTTCCAAAGAAAGGGGGGCGAATATTGATCTTTGCATTTTTTAAGTTCAACCTTCGATGCTCATGATCTTTACATTTATGCCCTTATACAAAACTGATTCATCTTATGTTGGTACTTATCTAGGGTCTTTTAAAGAAGCACGAAGCATTCGAGACAGATCTAGAGGTTCATCGCGAAAGAGTTCAGGACATTGAAGATGCTGGCAACAAGCTCATTGAAAAGGTTAACTTCAATGAATTTAGAATCATTTATCTCTTTCGTTTCCGTATCCTACTCTTTTTGTTCTCATTAAGAATTCTAAAATGCAAATTGACATTGAGTTTTTCTCTCCACAGGGTAACCACCAATCTGAGTTGATTGACCACAGGATTGCATCCATTAAGGTAATGACACCATCAGCCAAGACCTGCACTAGTTGATTGGCTACTGACTGAGTTCTTTGTTACTAGTTGGTCATGCAGCTGAATGGTCACACGAACACGACGCTCCTCTCCAAATCACCTCTCGAATAGTCAAATTTAGAATAAAATTTTCGAATTAAAAAACCCGAGCAAGACTTGTAGAGTTTCTCCATTTTCCTAATTTAATACATGGACCTTGTAGTGACGTTACGAGTTGTTGGCTTTTGGTCAGTTTTGAACATCTTCGTCCGGTTTCTGCTTTATATAGAGTAAACTTACCGAGTTGGAGAGAATGGCGTCCTATCGCAAGTCCAAGCTCAATGACAACTCAGCTTTCCTGCAGTTCAACTGGAAGGCCGATGTGGTGGAATCCTGGATTGGTATGTTTAAGTTTTGGGGTTTTTTTGTTTTCCTTTTAGCTCAGATTGATCGCTGCAATTTTCTCTTTGAGTGTATTGCTTTGGTTTTAAACTTAGTTGCTCCATTTGTGTGTTTTAGGTGACAAGGAAGGAATTGCTCGGTCAGATGATCTGGGGCGCGATTTGTCTTCAGTGCAAACACTTTTCACCAAACAGGTAAAGTGCAAGATGAAATTCAAACAAGACAACTAAAGTTAATTGTTGAGGTCTGCTTTTGGTTGACTTTGACTTCCGGAGTTGAGTTTTTATGAAGGGAATCTAGTCGGTAATACCAATAAATCTTCGGTGGCATCGTATAAAACAATTTTCCGTCTATGCTTTTTTTTTTTTTACCAGGAAACCTTTGACTCAGGTCTCCAAGCATTTGAAAACGAAGGCATTGCGCGTGTGACTGTGCTGAAAGATGAGCTTGTCCAATCACAACACGAGCAGTCGCCTGCCATCATCAAACGTCATGATGACCTTATTAGGAGGTGGGTGCTTTCTTTTAATCAGCTATTATTACAAGTATCGAGGCCATATAAGGAGCAACAGCGTACTACACTTGTGATGAAGTCGAAGACCTGTATTTCGATTACAAGTACGAACATTGACATTCTGAGGAAAGACTTACCGAGCCGTTTTAGAGCGGGAAAGCTTCTCCTCGTTCTAACGTTGCTTAATTTTTCTTCGATCGAAGTAACTTTTAGCGCTACCACAATTTGTCTCTGCTTCTTCCGCAAAGAGTCCCAGTTTGAATGTAGACTTCGTTGTCTATTTTATGACGATATCGTTGGTTAATGTTGGGGCTTGATGCGGCATTTAGTTAAAATTTCCTTTCTTTTTACACTCTAAGGTGGGAGCAGCTACTGGAAGACTCCAAGACTCGAAAAGAACGACTTCAACATGCCCAGGATCAATACAAGAAGGTGACTACTTGTGTGTGTGTTTTTTTTTTTTTGGTTTTTTTTTCTTCTCCGTTTTGCTTGTTTAGTCGTAGTCGCCTTACTATGTTGCTCAGGAGTGCATCACTAATGAACGCTACCATCTTTCTTTTGTCCAAGGTGGAGGACTTGTTCCTGTTGTTTGCCAAAAAAGCCTCTGCTTTTAACAGTTGGTTCGAGAATGCGGAGGAAGATCTGACCGATCCAGTGCGCTGCAACTCTGTTGAGGAGATACGTGTAAGTAGCCTCACTGAACAGGCGGGAATAACTTTGTTTTTCATCTTCCCTGTCGCGAATCTTGCTACTAAGAACGCCAAGCGCGGTTGATCTGACCGAAGACGTGAGAGGCAAAACTCGTGACTTATATTCAGGCTAGGCGCTATGTTAAGTAGAATCAATTGCATGTTGCTAGACCAATCATAAATGTAATTTTTTGCTATTATTCTTTTGAAATTTCAGGCTTTGCAAGATGGCCACACCCAGTTCCGCGCTTCTCTGGACCAAGCGGAAGACGACATCATGATGTTGCGGAAGCTTGATCGTCAGATCAAGAGCTATAACGTCTCCATCAACCCGTAAGTTTTCTAATGTATTGTGTAGATCACTGGCTTACCTTCATTTTAAAACTACATTAGGCAGATTTTGTTCCTACTTCTCACACCTGACATAAGTTATGTGCCATTCATATTCAACTGTTAGGAGAGTAATTTTTGGAGCAAATCCTGTCTGAGACCATAAGCGATGGCATTTCTTTGCTTGGAAGTTTATTTTTAGTAAACAGAGAGCGTGCCGGTAACATTACCTATTCACGTCAGCGTTAAAAGAGGCGTGTGATGCTAGAAGCCTTCTTGGCACTATTTGTGAAGATAAATCTGCTGAAATGGAGACGTTTAGGGCTCGGTTTTGCTCAACAACGGATAAATTAAGGCTCGATAAGTGACTCATAGACTTGAAAGAACCTGTTGATTCATTTAAGATGGTAGTGAAAGGGTCTTTTCGTTCTTTTTAGTTACACTTGGTTTACTATGGAAGCATTGGAAGACACGTGGGAAAATCTCCAGAAGATTATTGAGGTTTGTAAACTGGTCGCAAATGATATCATCCTTTCGTGAACATTTCTTACAAATGGCTAGAAATTGATTTGGTTTCTCTCCTCGGAATGGGTTTAAATTATTATACAACTTTCAAGCCTTGGAGGTGAAGTGTTTCATAAGAGTATGCCCATTACTTCTCAGTTTTTCTTTTCACAAGCCTCTTCTGTTGCGAAAATCCCACTCAGAACTGTCTTCCATGCCGAATAAATTGAAAGGAGGCTTTTGGATTGTATGGGAGTACCTTGCCTCGGAAATGAAATAAAAGATTGACTACGAATTCAACGTAATGTATCTTCGTTTTGTTTTTAGGAACGCGAGGATGATTTGCGTAAAGAAGCCCAGCGTCAAGAGTATAATGACAACCTCAGGCAGGAATTTGCACAAGCTGCCAACTCGTTCCACGCTTGGCTCTCTGATACAAGGTACGATGAACAAGTTTGCCTCAGGAGAACAGTGGATAATAAAGCTTAAAAAAATCCATTAACGTTTATTTAAACTGTATATTTCATTTTTCTTAGGGTTGCAATGGTTGACGGTCAAGGGGACCTTGAAGATCAACTGGCCGAGGTCAAGAAGAAGAGTGCTGAGATAGCAGACAGGAAAGAGGACCTTAGGATCCTGGAGGATCTTGGGGCTCAAATGGAAGAGGCTCTTATCCTGGACAACAAGTTAGTCGAGTTCTTTTTAGATGCATGCCCAGAGAGCTTCGCACTCAATGTACTATAAAGTAACATTGCATGTTGTTAGTGGTGTTCATGTGCTGGACGCGTGTTTTTTTCCTTTTAATACTCGTGCGTTAACACATGTTTCATTTTTACTCAAGGTATACCGAACACAGCACAGTGGACCTTGCTCAGCAGTGGGATCAGCTGGATCAACTTGCCATGCGCATGAAACACAATCTTGAACAGCAAATCCAGGCCCGCAATACCACTGGCGTTTCCGAGGATACACTCAAAGAATTCACTATCATGTTCAAGTAAGTTTCTTTTCACTTCCACCACAAAAAGCTGTTAATATTTCGTAGGTCGTCAAATAAGTTGTTCGCTTTAATTCTTGGGGTTTTCATTCCAGTTTTTTGCATTTAAAGCTGTGTTGTCTTCAGGAGAAGGCCATTAGAAACTCGAGATTACACTCGACTTCTTGTTTTGAAATGTCACTTTTTCGGCTCTTAAAATCAACATTAATATTTATGGCTCTGGAAAAGTTATCATTTTTGTTAGCTGTAAGGCTGTACCACGGTCCGTATTTGAATTTTTCATTCGTCCTTCAGTCATGAATTGTGTTTACTCAGCACTTGATCGCTCCCCTCTAATCTCTTCAACAGGCACTTTGACAAGGATAAGACTGGTTACCTGGATCATCAAGAATTCAAGTCATGCCTCCGTTCTCTTGGCTACGATCTCTCCATTGTAGAAGAGGGCGAAGAAGATCCGGAGTTCCAAAGCATCCTCAGAACGGTGGATCCCAACGGGTAAGTGGCCTGGGCCACACTGAATTGCTTTGGCTTCACTTCCTGCTTTGGCAGGCGGTTACCGCTCATTGATTCGGTCACACCCACGGTTTCCAGCTACAGACAAAACTTTGGAAAGAATAAGGAAGAGCACTGCTCGATAGTATTAACGAATAGCTCTCTACCAGATAAGCTCACACTTTGAGTCTATGAGAATCTATAACACGACAAAATTCTTTTTTTAGAGAGAGATTAGTGGTAATTGTGCTTTCGTGTTGATACCACCGCTAGTATGTCGTAACTTTGTTGTGAAGCTACCACGCTCTCAGTTGGAACGGCGTAGATTTTTGTCTTTCTCTCTGTTTATTCTTGTGTCACTGACTGATTGTCTCTCGCTTTCAATTCTACGTAGTGACGGTGTGGTGTCGATGGGAGAGTACATGGCCTTCATGATCAGTCGTGAAACAGAAAATGTCGGCTCTAGTCAAGAAGTCATCAACGCCTTCAAGGCGCTCACTGAGGGCGGAAAACGTCTCTATGTTACTGAGGCTGAGCTCTATCAGGTAACATCTACACCTCAAATTTAAACTTATGAGAGGGGAAGGAAAACGTAACTTGATTGAAACTTACTAGACGTCCTAAGAGAGCCATCATATAATGCTTGTATTTGTTTCACGATTTTCACGTCCCAGAGAAGTATTTGAGTTGTCGTGATGTCGTTCCTTGAAGTTTACTGTTAGTTTCCACAAAGTACATAACTGGATAATGCCTCTCTTGCTGCTTTCGATCTTGATTTCTTTGCCTCTCGTTTTCAGTCTCTCACCAAGGAGCAGGCCGACTTCTGTATTGATCGTATGAATCCTTACGTTGACGACAAGGGCCGAGAAGTTCCGGGAGCTTACGACTACAAGACTTTCTGCGAGGAACTCTTCTCTTCTAGCTAAATTAGTCAGTCCGGCATAGATTTGCAGTAATTGTGGTATGTTCCTTATTTCTGAAGAAACGAAACACCTCACGGTTTAATGTAACTGGAAGATGACAATACCCCAGCAGCTCGCTAGGTATTACTGAAGCTATCATCAACAGATTAACTGATCACAGTGTTCAAGAGAATTACCAATGTAATTTGCATGTAATTCAGTGCATGTTATTATGTTTAGAGTGATGAGTTGTTACTTGGGTAGGGATAGCGGAAAAGTTCTGTTATATTAGCAAACAAAAATGTGGGCCAGTGCATAGTTTAAACATCAAAAGGAAGACAGTGTTCCTGAAGCAGTGGTTCATGTATCGCCATATACGATTTTATGCCGTGGAGGTGTTTTGTTGCAGAAATTTCAAATTATGTCCTAATTGTAGTGTAGAACGGACTATTGGCTGGTTGTCGTGTGACATTATCATTTAGCATTAATGATGTAATAAAAGGGAGTGAAGCAATGACTGGATATCTAAATGTGTTTTGTGCGGTGCGTGAAGCTGGGAGGCGAGCCAACAAAACTTATTAGGACAATCTCTGGTAAATTTACCAAGGTAATTAACTTAAAACGACACTGTTTTTTTTAGCCAGTTGTTTGTACGAAGAGCCGTCAGATGACTTGATGTAGAACAATCACGCGTAGGAACTTAATGAGATGAAGATATAAGCCAAACGAAACAAGTTAACCCTTTAACCCTTTAAAGTGCCTATGTCACGAATCTTTTTTTTGGCGTCAATATTTAGCTTATCATATTTATAAGCCAATTCCGATAGAAGAAAATTTCAAAAACATAAAGCTCGGTTCTTTCGGGCCCTAAAGTGCTCTTATTTTGTCTTTAAAGTGTCCCGTGGACTGGTAACGAATTAGCGGGTGATGACCCAGAAAAGTGTGAAAACTTTCAGTTGTCACAAACAGATCTCTCACATCTCTTGTAATTTTGTATCAGTCAGCGTTGAAATACCCTTGAAATAATGTCCGATAGCGATGTATACCTATCTTCAGCAAGCTCCACCGAGAGTTGTGATACATCGTACTTAAGTAGCAGAGAAGAAATGGAAGTGGCGAGTGAGGTTCCAACCCTACGAAGGAGAACCACGTAACATCAAACGAAGATTTCGGCGAAGACTGACAAAGAAGTTTTCTCGCTTGCGGTGTTCAGGTCAAGATTAGAACAAAATATTCCCGTTACTGAATGTGTAGCTTGTTCCGTTTTTGTTTTGTTTTCTATTGCGAGATCTATCTTAAGAATGGGTAGCTGTGTTCGTTTCTGTTGCCATAACTTTATATTCCTTCGCACTATGTGTGGCGATGGTTCCCCTTGGTCAGTGCTTTAGAGTTCCGTAGAGTTCTGTTATAAACCAAAAGCTAACTTTTGTTTTACCAAGGGAAGGGTTTTTAGATTTTCGGAAACCTAGGTTAGGAGAATCCACGGCCCTTTCGAGCTTGTGTTTATGCCAATATCCGCCAGAGGTTCGCACTGTTCACGCTACAAGATATCGGTCAGCTTAAGAAAGGGCTTGAACTTCATTACAAATGACGCATTTCTGCTATTAAAGTACGATGGAAACGAAAATTGGTAGTATTTTCATACGATAAGAAAATAGCAAATGTAGTAATGTGGAAAGACTAGTATGAGTACATCTCAAGCGCTTGAAATAGACAACTTACTTCACAACAGCTGGAAAGATATTGCAAACGTGAGCTAAATCCGCCAAACATCCCTCTTTAAACCTAAACTTAAACTTGAAAGGGCTTGAAATAACGGCCGGTCAATGGACAATGCTAGGTCAGATGTAGGTTTTGTCCGGTCAACTCCTTTGATGACCAGACATTTCGTCCGGTTGTTTACGAATGGAAAGAGGAAGTAGTTCTCGTGATAAAATTAACCCCCACCCACCCAATCCTCCCCGCGCCAGTCGACTGGTCTCTTGGGAGTTCTGTTATTTCTTTCGTTTGGGAACACGAAGACGATTTGGCGCTGACGCATTTCCGTGTCCGCTTCGCGCTTCGCCAAACTCCAAACATTCATAAGCGATCCTTTTCTAATCTTTATTTTTTTCATTACCAAAAGGTGCATTAAGAATGTGACAAACCTATGTTCATGGCCTCTAATCAAGAACTACTAAATTAGGTCGAAACTAGACTGGATGTGGCAGTTCCTTCCTTCACTATTTCGACATTGAAAACCAGATAAAGAATCGTTTCCTTTTTTTCCTATTCTTTGTAATTTTTCAAGAAAACTTTGGCTACGATTCAAAGTGGCCACTTACAACAAACTTGATAATAATCTTACAAAAGAATGAGCTTTCAGGAACAGATATTTCAAAATGTTTGTAAAAACAACGAAGCTAATTGTTTGTCATATGAAAAACTTGTATAGCTGTACTTGAGAACAATTATAACTGATATGGCAATCTTACATGCACGTGAGTGTGTCTGTATCATCGTCTATTGGCCTTGTATCTCATATCAGGGGTTCCATCTTTTTTCAATGGACCTTGCGCCTGGAACCGAGATTGCGGAGGATGGTGCGACTGTCTGTTCGCTGCATAACGCATGTCCGGTGTCCCGTCTTTCTTAAGAGGTCCTCGCGAGCTGCTTGTAGCGGCGGGGAGATTACCAAAACGCTGCTTGTTCACCGCATAGCGCATGTCAGGTGCACCGTTTTTCTTCAGAGGTCCCGCGGTATAAACTTTAGCCAAGGACGGCCCCAAAGAGGATTTTGTTCCACCGGAAAGAGTACCAGTAACTACAGAACATGCGGAACTTGAAACATAGGAGGAGCCGCAGAGTGCTGTTCTGTTGTTTCTGTACCGCATGTCAGGCGTACCATCCTTCTTCACTGGGTGAACCTTTGCTGGTACGTTGGTTGAAATTAATGCTGACGTTTTCCTCAACGCTCCAACTAATTCCTTATTTACCTTATATCGCATATCAGGTTCTCCATTCTTCTTAACCGGACCAGGAAACTCTCTCCTATGTTCCCTCAGCCTCAAGTCCAGGGAATCATCTTTGTTATTTCCACTTTTACAGAAAATCCTTCGATTCACCTTAAAGCGCATGTCCGGCTGGCCATCCTTCCTTTTCGGGCCCGACAAGCAGCTCGCCTCTTCGTCGTCAGACGGGTTGGAGCTGATATGACCACGTTGTGAGTAACCATGCGAGTAACTATCTGGTGGGCTGCTGTCACGCAGGTGACTCCGAGGCGGAGACTTGTCGTGCACGTAGCTATCACGTAAATATCGGTCACGCAAGTAACTGTCGTCATGTTCATCTTCGCGTGGGCTACTGTTATAGCTGTCACCTGTGTAACAGCTATAACAGTCGTCAATATGGTCACTTTCGCGCAAGTTACTATCCTCAAAGTCTTCTCCACTATAAGATGCGGTTGGCAAGCCTTCGAGTTCTTCTCGCGGATCCTCGTGCCAGGAGTCGCCATCATATGATTCTTCGCTCCCCTGGAAACCTTCATCATCGTGACTACTGGAGTGAGACATGGAGTGGCCTTGGTCAGCTAGCCTATGTCGGGCCTCCTCGATTACCTCAAGGCATTCAGGAGAGCGTCCGATTCTTGGATCCTGCTGGATGGTGTCCAAGAAGTCAAGGCTTGTCTGTTCCAAGCGGACACAAGCCAGCAACCTGCTCAGGTGAGGAAGACGATTCTTTTCGTCAAACTCCAACCATTTCATGACAACGTGAAGGACATGTTCTTCATCTTCAATTTCAAGGTCCTCATCCTGGATGATTTCCATCAAGTCTTCATGGCCAAGAGTATTGATTCCGTGTTCAGCGCTTAACGAACTGAAATTGGTGATGATAATTTTCTTTGTTCTTCTTTCCAGATCTGCAGTGTGCTCAGAATCTAATTCGCGAACCAAGCACAGGATACCCACCACATCATATGTGTCCAGTTTGGCAATCAGCCATTCACAACAGACTTGAGAAAGTGCTGGTATTTGATAAGTACACGCGGCTCTGAGAAGACCAACAGCATTTTTGCGCTGCAGAGTCACTTTCGCCGAGTAGAGGTAACCAATGAAATCACGAAGAACATTGGCATGGATGCCCAGACGAATGGGGTGCCTTCTTTGAGAAGCACAACCTTGCAAAATGATATCTTGAAGGGCCGGTGACGCAGCCGCGACGAGGGGGCCATGCACAGCTAACTGGATCTTTCCCTGATAGTCTTCTATGGTTGTTGTGGTTAGTTCTTTCTCGAAGAACATATTCAATAGCTCCAAAAGCACATCTCCGTGATCGTCAGGTACCACTTTTATCCTTCCCTGATGATCCTGTAATTCTTCACACTTAGCTGCGAGTGCATCAATTTCAAATTGAACGGCAAAGTTGTGAAGGTCTTGTAGAGTGTCCTCATCTATCGTAAACTCACATTTATAGATGAATTTTCTAAGACACCGGAGAGTTTCTTTAGTCAATCCGTCAAGCAAAATGGCCCTTGCGGAATCTTTGACACTCCTTGCCATAAGAAGATCTTTAACATTTGGGCTGCTTGCTGCTAGGAGCACAGAATGAAACTTTTCTTCGCAGTCTTTTCTTCTGGAAATGAGGTTCACGTCAGTTAAGATTCCCTCATTTCTTGCCTGCATGTCGCGAAGGTTGTCTAGAAGAATCTTCGCATGGTCTTCCTTTTTAAAAACGAAAGTCACAGCCTTCTCGCCCAATTCCTCCTTCCGTTCTTCTACGGCCACATCCAGAAGACTGAGTGAAGACATGCTGAGAAAAAGGAATCAATATGATGATGTGATTTAAACTTCAATTCCTGTAAAGACTTCCGTGAATATTTCGCATGGCGTTGGAAACTTGAAAACACAAGTGATGAAACAATATCACTAAATGTAATGGTGGAAATCATATCATGAAATTCGAAAAAAAAAGCATTTTGAGCTTTTATTGCGTCATTGGTGGCTAAAACTATCAAACGCTGGCTTTCGATTCCAGGTAGTTTTGTCTCAGACGCTGCCATTGCGACTACCGAAAAATATGGGGAACCCGAGCGGAAGTCAACAATTGGGTATTTTGTTTCGAGGGAAAGTCCCATACCCTGCTCCCGCAATCTTTGGGTTGAACGGATGCTGCGCATCATGGACAAACCTTAGCTTTGATAAAGAGAATATGATCTCTTGATTTTGATGGATAATTTTTAGTAGTAAACATCAAGAACTTCGAACAGAAAAGCAAGCAATCGGTACTAGCCACGCAGAATAACTGAATAGCTTCTCAGCGACGAATAGCGAACACTAGCAAGATATGAAAAATTGTAGAATCAGCACTCCGAGTAGAAGAAACGAAACGAAAGCTAATCAATTTATTTTCATTTGAGTAAATAATTATTAGAGTCTTATCTTTTTCGTGGTATCGAGATCTAAAATTGGCCATGCGACTTCCGGTTTCGTTTCGTTACTTTCGATGCTTTTTAAGAAATAGTGATTATTGAACTATCATCGAGCCCAGCAGATGCTGTGTAACTAAGCTGAACTGAACGGATCCACTATTTTTGTTATCGACAATCGGCATCAATGATAAAGCTATGATATATTTTAGATTCAATTGATAATTCTAAATTACAGCCAGTACTGACGAACGATTATCATGTTAAAGAATTGGGTAAATCAGTTTACACAAAATGACAGTAGTGTACGGGGGTTGTTCATTTCAAGGTTTGGTGGGTTTCGATTGATAAAAGCCGCCATAATTTCCCTCAAGCTATCAGTACCAGTTTATTTTAGTTTCATGGCCTTGACGAAGCGAAAAAATGACCAAGTTTCATTCACTATTTGAAGACATCTTCGGCTGGAGTTCGTGCGAGCGCTCGAAGTGAACGCGAACTTGGTGGCCGTGCTGAAGGTTGTTTTAAATAAGTAACTTACCAAACGGCATCAACATTTTGGCTCGAATGTATTTACAAATGAATCATCCGTTTTTCTTGAAACACGTGGTAATAAATCTAATCTCTGCCTTAGTTAACCTACTGAAGTTTACTCAATTCACGGACTCGAGGAAATTCAGTAATAGATAACGTGTTGCTCCATCGGTGCGAGAACTGAATAAGATTTTGGAGTAAGATTGACAAAATGAGTATTTAGAAATTGTTTTACCTCACCTTATTGTAGTGTTGTAGTTTTTTTTCGCTATCTAAGAGGACCACTAAAGTTCAGAACAAACAGTTGCACAGATCTTCTTCACCGTGTAAAGCTCGGAAAACTCTATTTACTCCTAAGAGCGAAATATATTTTTATACTGTATCACGATGAGGTTACGTACGTATACGTCACCGGGAAATGTCCCGGCGATCATGTTACTGTTTTAAGATATTTTGCCTGCAGCTATACATATCGCTTTCGAGAGGCTTTCCTGACCAAAACAGAAAGAGGAAGAGACTTAGAAATGTTGATGACCATCTTTTAGAAAAGAACTGCCGCTCTAATATAGCTATGAAAGAAATGGTTTTATTTTTTGAGAGTCGTGATTGCTTTTGACTAATTTCATTTGTAATTTACACCCGTTATAAAAAACGTGGCAATTTGAAAATACATTTTAGATATATACCTTCTATTTTTTCCTCATCAAAAAAGGGTAATGCACGATACGTGTATAGTTTACTTAGAAATAACAATATCTTTTTTGATATTATGCGAAGGTGAAACAAAGACTTTGGAAATATTGACACCAGTTAGTATACTTTTCCTTTGTCTCTATAATTTATTCATTCAAAACCTTTTCCTTTTTCGGGTGTATATGTCAATACCCGTTTTCAAAAACGTTGAAAAAAGGTTTCGATAGTTCTTCTGTCATCTTCAGTTCTGATTTATAAAAAGTACAAAGATGAATTTTTCAAAGCATTTTGATAAAAACTTTAAAAAGTGTTTATCAAAATGCTCATTGGACAAAACAAACAGTGGGAACAAAACAATGTCCTATATTTTCTTAAATTCGTGACATATCTGCTGTTATCCAGACCATATATACCTTTCCTTTTCTTATCAAAAAGTGTCTCTTTCATATAGAAGTTATTTTTCATTTTCACATTTCAGTCGAGCAATTACACGTCGCTGAAATTTGAAGAAAATGATAATAAGAATATTTAATGTGAAACCACTTTTGTTTTGATCCTATATGATAACTTTCACGTTATCGCAGAATAGTACGAAAGCATATATGACGGTTTCCACTGTTTCATACACTGGTCCCTCAAAATACAATTCAAAGATAGACCGTCAAAGACTGCAAGTTGCTACTGGCATAGCACAATTTTTGTTGGCATTGAAAAGAACTGGAGGTTGTATAATGACGCTTGAAGATAGTGTGGAAGAATACTTGTCGTTCAAGCAAAACAGAAAACCAGCCGCACCCACATATTTATGAGTACCCTGTTCCGCAAGAGAAAGATGATTCAAGAATATAGTATCTCATTGGCATTCAACCAATAATTAAATGCTAACAAATAATAATATTAACAATAATAATAGAGATAATGATAAAAATAACTTTTAGGGTCTCGCTCGAAAGCCTCGTCGTTCTTTCTGGGCTCCAACAGTGATTCTCTATGCTTCTTTTAATTTTGCCTGTTAATTATGAAGAATTTTCCTATTTCATAGCAATTCCATTCTTGAGGCTTCTGTTTCGTACCAAAAAGGATTTCACGTTTTTGAGGATATTCCGTCGATCCAGTCTTCCTCCGTTCCATCATTGTGTTGGATAATTAACTCAAGGTATCGTATTCGCAGCTTGCTCTCTTCGCAAATTTAGCGGCTCTTTTTGGCATAAGTCGCTAATTTAAAGGTTAAAATGCTCTTTTCTCAAAGAAAAAGAAAAATTGCATAATCTTTTTTGTAGTAGAAAGCAAAGTTAGTTTCTTCCGTTGTGCGCTTTCCTTTGAAATCACTCAGCATCCATTTTGGAGGACCTTTCGCAGACGGTTGAATTTTTGTGTAGGCCGATGATATGCGGTGTTCACATAAAAAGAGGAAATTTGAGATAGAAATCAAAACGTTGCGGATAGTGATAGTGGAATGCCAGTACGTCTCCGGTAGTTTTAAAACAAGTATTCTTTGTTTGCGACTAGCATGACCATGTCATGCGCGCACAAAATTGTCCTCAATTAACTATTTCCTCTTGCCGCAAATGCCCGTCTCTACTCGCTATTCATACGTGTGACCGGAATAGTTTATTGAAATAACATTATAAATATTTCTCAACTATTTCTACAGTTTTTGTCCAAAGCACATGCATATAGTATCAAATACAATGCTCCGAAATCAAGGGTGACTCCAAGCTGCCTCAGTTGGCGGTGCCCAAACCAGACTTAACCTTAATTATGTTTACAGTCGTTTCTGTGTATATGGCCTTGAATCGGCTGAAAATGTGGTGATACCTAAGTCTAAAATCCAAGATTTTAAAGATGATACTTCTTGGAATTTTTTCGTTCGTTGCAGTTAGGTCCAATAATGGTACAAACATCTAATCACCTGATTTATCCAAAATTTGTCATAGTATAGCATCATTACAACCGCTGGCTTTTGAGCTTTTTCATGCAGTTTAAGACTTCTTTTTCGTTTGGTTTCAGAAAATTGTGGAGTCATTCGGTGATTTTTTACTCATTTTTAACCTTAAACACTAAATAACGAATACAACGGTCACATACAAGACCTTTACATGCGTGGAAGACTGGACCCCATATTTTGCATATGAGCAAACAGTCTGTCAGCAGCTACAGTAGTTAGACAAGATGGCGGACGGCTTGAAAGAAAGTGACTCAATCAAGTTAAAACCAAGAGAAAATAAGCAATCGAAAAAGACAAGTGAGTGAGATCTTCTGTTAATCAAAGTGGTATGCTTGTTTGCTTATGGGAGTTGCAATTACCTTTTTTTAAATCTTTAGAAGCATCTGCTCGGGCTAAGAAAGATGAAAATCAAAGGTGAGATTCTCTTTTCGAATCGTCTCAGGAGTTTACTTATTTGTAGCTTTTCATATTTGCACATTGTATACTGGTGAGTTCCACTTTTCAATTTAAATGAATACTCTTATCTTAATTACTATTCTCTCTGGTTTGAATTTCAGGTTAAAAGAGATTGAAACCTCCATTCGCTCTCAAGTCGCCGCAGAAAAGCGAGCCCATGACGTAGTGGAGAGGTTAGTTCTAGAAGATTTCATCTCGGAAGACTTCCTCATCAACTCGGTAAACAGACTCTGTTAGATTGTGTTCGACCTCGAATCCAGAAAAGGAAAAACGTCAAGATAAAGTTTTGAGAAAGTAATATGTTTTCTCTTAATTCTGCAGGGAAACTTGATCACAACAAGCCATTATGCAGATATAGTAGAGGAGAGGATGTTATCCAAAAAGTGTGGTTACCCTTTATGTAGAAATCCTTTGAACCAGGTTGGTAAGTCAGTTGCTGTTAGTCCAGTCTAAAGTATGTGGCAGATGCTTGCAAATGCCCCTTTTAAATTGCTCATTGTGCATGACAGAATCACAGCATTGGCAAAGTAGCTGCTATACAAAGAGGGTCACATAATAGTTCTGGACAGATAGCTCATAAAGCTGAAAATGGCTCTGCACTCACCAGATCTAACCAAGTTCTGCTTTACTCTGCCAAATGGCCCCCCCTACTAAAAAATCTATTAGATATTGTTCAAAAATTAAGAAATGAAGATGCATCTTGGAGCCAAAATATCCAAATAAATGCCTAGACCCAATGGATATACCTGTATGACAATATCAGGGATGCTTATGCTGAAGTCTTTCCTTGGTTAAAAATTGTTTAAACCAGTTTGTATTTTGTAGTTATTTTATTCCTTACCATAGTTTGAAACCAAGAAAATTAAAACTCAAACTGGTGTGGAAAAAATTGATATCAGGCAGTTGAAGGAAAGGTAGCATATACAGCATGCTTACATAATTTGTTCAATTTTCCAGATTCCAGCACAAAAATACAAGATCTTTTTAAAAACAAATCGAGTTTATGATATCACAGAAAGAAAGGTAAGCTATTCTCCTTATTGTCATTTCAGTATTGTTGTTATTGATTATAATAATAAGGATAATAACATCAATTTATTTAGTACTATTCTGCTAATCTTCCATAGTGCTTTACAATCATTAATGCTAACTTAACTAAGGTAAAAACTATAATCAAAAAAAAGATAAAGATACAAAGATAAAGATAAATTTACAAAGCTAAAAAAATAATAAAAAAATTTTTAGACATCAAGAATAAAAGGTAAAAGTGATAAGCTTCTTTGAAAAGATAGATCTTTAAATTCTTCTCAAAAATAGCTATAAAATGGGGATTTTTTAATGCTAAGAGACAATTCATTCCTTAACCCTGGTGCTTCTGTGCTGAACACCCTCTCTTCATAAGTAATTAGTTTTGTCTGTGGCACAGTGAGCAGTTCTTTGTTACAAGAACATAAAGACCTAAAGATACTTTAGTGGCTCAGCATTAGTAGCTCAGTGAATAAGAAGTGGTGAATTGATCACAATAAATTGACAACAAGTCACTTTTATGATCAACTTTACTACAATGTACAATGTTATTTTTTTAACCTTTTTTTTTTACATTATTTGTCTGTTTTTTTCATATTTGGGCATTATCGAGGCTGCATATTGTTGTCCAAAAAGCATATCTGTTAGTAGGATTTTAAGATTCAACCAAAATTAAATGAAGAAATAGGTTTTTTATTGATTTAACAACATGCCCTTAACAGTTCCAAATGTCGTTAAATTTAGCATTTGTTTGTGTTACAGTGTTTTTGCTGCAACTTGTGTTATAAAGCATCAAAATATTTCGAGTCACAAATCTCAGATTCTCCAGTGTGGACACGGATTGGTGAAAGGTACTGTCAATCTGCCATAATTTCTTTGTGAATCATTTTGTACAAAATTCAAAATTCTTAACCCTTAAACTCCCATGAGTAATAATTTAACCAATAATTTTTCATATTGATATCTATACAATATCAAGCAGAAGGCTGATGAGAATAAAGAAAAATATAAATGATTGAAAAGTTATTATTAGCTGCTCGGATACCAAATTGTTAGAACTAGCATCAAAAGAATTGTGTGGTAGATAGTAAAGAATTAGTAATAAGATTCTGGAAGTGAAAAGGTTGACAATACTATGGTTTGCACATCAGAGTATTAAAAAGTATGCATTTGTTTGAATGAATTTTTGGGAAATAAATGCAGAATAAATTCACATTTTGGGGCAAAGAAGAATTTAAAAAGTATTTTTAATTTTAAAAGAATTTAAACATACCCTTAATTCTTCAAGGGTATGTTTGGTATGGAATACATCTCAGTGTTGTTTCACTCGTCTGGCAACAATTTTTCTTACTTGTGGATCATCTCTGAGGTTCCTGGCCTCATGCTAGAGCTGAATTGACATACAGTGAGAACTCAGTGTGTCATTTTGTTTTTATGCTGTAGATAATGTACTTTATACAGATAATTATAATCGTTATTTAGAGGGGATTTGAAGCCATCTGAGCGAAATTGCATGATTGCATTTATTAGATATTCTGTTGTGTGTTTCATGTGATTGCAGGTGATCTTACAACCTGACAACCTGCATAAGAAGTTGGCTTTGATATGATGAAGTTCCCAACTTAGATACATGGATTTTCAGTGATACTTTCACCTACTTAATCACAACACATAAGTTTCTTAAACACTGGTTAGATATGACAAATGTGTTGTCAAAAGCTATGAACTGTGAAATGATGTTAATGAAGTTAATACTTGATATTTTTGCATGCCATACAGCCCCAAGATAATTGTTTTGCTCAAGAATGAAAACAGCACCAATAGGTATGGGAAACTGAGAATTAATTCATTGGTTTATCAATCAATACTAGTTCCTCTCTATTAATTTATCAGCTGAATAATCTATGCAGGATTTTTTGAGAGAACACAAGAGAGAACATTTAGCAAAGATTGGTCAATTTGGTTGCAGGTTATGTGGTTCTTCTAGGATGTGTTTGGTATAGAATACATGTATGCCTCAATGTTATTTCACTGGCAACAATTTTTCTTACTTGTAGAGTATCTCAAAAGTTCCTGGCCTCATGTTAGAGCTGAATTGATATACAATAAGAGTTTAGGGTGTCATTTCATAAATACGTAATAGACAAAGTACTTTATACAGATAATTCTCATGACAGAAGTTTGCAAATTACAACCTGTTGGAAAATGAGTCACAAAATCTTTCAAAGTGTTGTAAACACCCTAAGTTTATTATTAATCCTGACAGTAAACCAAGGGAAAGTGCAGTCTACTGCTCAAATAATTAGGAAAGGTGTGGGTTTATCTATACAATAAACAAAAGATTTTTGACCAGTCATATGGCTCATGGTATGTTATTTAATAAAATAATGTAATTGTAATAATGTAATGTAATTATGATAATGTAATGTAATTATAATAATGTAATGTAATGATAATAATGTAATGTAATGATAATAATGTAATGTAACTGTATCTTGTATGCATGCAAAAGCCACCAACACACAAAGCTAGCTGGTTCTTACCAGCTGGTAGATCATCAACAAATCCTTATCTGCATAGTTGTTTACTGATTTAAATAATTCAAAGTTGACCATCTCTTTTCACAGGACTGGTTCTGGTGAAGTTCTTCTTGGAAAAGATAATAAACTAGAAAATATAAGGTGATAGAAACCATCATGTCACCTTCAGCAGTTAATGTATCCTACATGTTCTTTATCCTTATTTTACTATAGAGGAACTGTTAGCACAATCAATTTGTATCAACGGTTTGCTAGAAATAAGTTTACTTGAGCAAAAATTTAGTAAGGTATGTAAAAGTGAGCGTGCCTTTATGAGTCAAGTCTGTTAATGATGATTAGTGGGCAAGAACACTTGTACATAGCAAAACGTGTTTTAAAAATTATTTCACTCGCGTCATAAAAAGGGTAAAGTATTCCTCTTAAAGTTTATTTTTGATCGGAGTTTGTATTTTTCTTTAGTGACGGTATGCAAGATGATCGCGTCATGGGTCCTGAGAAAAGTGAAAAAAGTTTGTATGGACTGGCGGCAGGCTATAGTGGAGAATTGTCGCAGGATGAAGATTCTCTAATAACATCACAAGAGAACTCTTTTATTCGCAATGAGAACAATCTACAAGGGAACTTGTCATCGTCATTGTCCTCATCTTTTCTGGCATGTAGAAATGAAAAATCAGGTGCACTAGATAATTTGTTGGACAAAACAGATCTATTACTTGAAAAACCTGAACAGATATCAAATGAACCTGACCTCCTACAGTGTCATTCTCCTAAATCGCAAAGGAGGGCGCAAGATTCTAACAAGAGTGAGAGAAATATTTCCTCTGAGGGTGAAAGAAAGCTGGACTTTGTTAGGAAATCACTGAACAGTGACACAGTAATTCAATCTGTCCAAGCTGTGTTCCAGGAATGGTGCACACATTCTACCTTTGAATATCTGGGACTCGCTGTAAAACCAAAAGTCGCGAGCGCCCCACCAGAGGCGAAAGACAAAGGTAAGCATTTTTCTTTGATTATTAGACGGCAAGTTTAGGGTGGCTCTGACTCTAGAGTCGGTGGGCTATGAGGGAATCAAGATCGAGGCAATTATTGGCTGCAAATTTGGAAGAAAGCCAAGATCTGGTGAATTAGAAACCGACTGATCTTTGTGCCACAGGAGTGAACCATGTAAGTGTAGTCATTTTATTTAATTAGTTTAATTTGTTTGGGACTTGTGAAGGGACACATTTAACCTCGACTTTGTCGACGAAAGCTTGTGAATGAAAACTTGTCTAAGAAATCTTTTGAGGGAAAACTTGTTTGGCAAATCTTTTTGAGGAAAGCTTGTCAGGTAGAACTTGTCCTGGAAATATTTTCGAGGTAAAGTTGTCCAATAAAACTTGTCTTTGAAATCCTTTAAAAGAAAACGTAAGTGAAACTCCGGCTTTGTTGAACCATCTAGACCCAGAATCCTTCACGACCAGGGCTATTCAGTTCTTCCAAGCTGCTTTGAATGACAGTGAAGATTCAGACTTAGAAGCAGATACTGACCTGGGTCCGAAAATAACCAAAGAAAATATAGTGATAAAAGAAAACAAACCTGCAAATGAGGTAACTATACAGTTATCATAAATTAAAAAAAAGAGACATTTTCCAAGGCGCTTGGTCATGGATTAGTGCATTTTACTCTATTGAAAGTAAATTTATTGATTGTTATGAAAATACTTCTTCGTCTAGTTAAGATTTCCTTACTAACCTTCGCTGGTTGAAAACCATAGTTAAGAATGTAATTTAATATAACCTCTTTTATGGAAATTGGTAACGGTGTAAAAGTGTATCTTTAATTTCTTGTACTCCAAACTCAGTCAAAGTGAAATCAGCATGGTGGATTTGACTATTTTGACGAATTTTCGCCATTTTCGTTACTGTATGCTTTTCACGGCATATCTCAAGTTAACACTCTATTAATACTTTACTTGATTGTTGTAGGATAGAATTTGTATTCTGCCTCCTATCGACTCAAAATCACAAGTTACCATCAGAAGACGAATTGTCTTGGATAGATTGTTTCGAACGTAAGTGTGACTGTCCAATTATGATTTAAATCAAAGTATAACCTGTTATCTTCACACATAAAAATCGCACCTTACTACTTCCAAAAAAAAGCATTAAAGTGGAATGATTTAATTTTCATTGGTGTTCATATACTACATAGAATAGTACAGGGTCACTTAGAGATAGGAAATATGTCTTCTCGTGTTGAAAAATATTTCGCGAGTGAGAGATATTTTTGAAGAGAAATATCTTATCTCCGCGCGGCCATGTAATATCCACTATGTATTTATTGGTGTTTTTAACAAAATAATTAATTTACTCGTGCTTGTTATTTATGAGGTGATTTAATTGCGAATTCGGCCTTACGGGCCTAGTTAGCTATCTATCATTCCACCAATGCGTGCTCGTGTAATGATTGTTAATACGTGAGCAGTCTTCAATTGGGTATCGAAAGTGATCCAGGTTTGCCTTGGCATTACTTCAGTCAGCTTTGTTAGTTTGCCTAGAAAACTTGTGCCACCTGCTCAACCAATGAGATACCAACCTTGAGCCAATTGTGACTTGATAACTCGCGCTTTCCCACTCTTAAGACCATTTCTGAGTATCATCTCTGAGTTCTCATTGGCTGTTTGTCATATTTACATTTGCCCTGGTTGGTTGTTGCGATTACCATGGTATTGTTGTTACGGGACTCCATCGGAAAGCGCTATGGCAAGGTTACATTCATTTGCTGATTCAATTGCATGAAATAGTCTTGCTTCTGTCCTTAGCATGCCAGATTTGTTGAGTGAAATCAAGTTGACTGTGGGGGAAGTATCACGTGACGTCACTCAGCTGGTTCACACCTTTAGGTGAGTGGAAGTAGTCCTGATGTGAATTTCAGTGCTCACAATGACAACTTTAATGTTTATTGTGTCAAGGTTATAATTATTATTATTAATTGCCTTACAATGAAGAGCCACGTTGAACTCGACTAAAGCAAGCGGACGTTAATTTTCAACTTACAGTTGTTAATCAGTGATTGTACAATAAAACAATGGTTGCACGATATGTTAATTTGTTTATTTATATATATGTTTATTTATTGTAGTCTTAACAGTAAAAACATCACCCTGAAGCCTCTGCAGTGGAGAATTCTCTCCTTGGCGTTGATTCTTATGTGGGTATATTTTTTCTCTTTATTGGAGTAATACACTAAATAACCTTAAGTTGCCGGTTTTCGCTGTCACGCTATCATTAAAACCAACCGAAAAAAAAATCAAGAGAAAAAAAAATCAAGAATCAAAGAGATAAACGAAGATGAATATTCAAACAGTCTCGCAACGATTCAGATCTCGTGCTGGAGATAATTGAAGACGTTATTTACTCATATTTATAAGACGCCATGGCTATGTGCCGGAAGCTAACAAAAACATATATCATCGAGTTTTGTCGTCTTCTGAGGACTCACAAACATTTCTATGGGTCCTTATTCTCATACAAGAATTGATCAGATGCAAAATCTCAGCGGATAACTCACTTTTTTAAAACTACGTGATTGCATTGTTGGCTGTCATTTTAATATCGTGTCAATTTGTGAAAAGATAAGTCTTCAGCTGTTCTATGAACTAACTGTACTAAAATCTCAAAAGGATTGATAAATCCTAATTTTTTTAATTTTGATGACGTTACTTGAAAACTAGGTATAGCCCATGCCAGCTTTAGAAGTCATTTCCTTGATACCTCTTTATATTGGGGCAAGTTACGAGTTGAAAATTACCGCGAGATCCTCGGTTTTACTGAGTAGAAAGATGGTGATTTAGGTCAGTACAAGACACGAAGATATACATGCTAATTGCTGGATTGAAATTACGTGAATCGTGAATCGCCTTTCTTTCACCAACTTTTTGGCTTCTCAAATTTTCTGTCTACAATTGTTTTCTTAGTTTTCTTTGCAGAAATTTAATGTAGACGGTTGACAATTTGTTACATTTTTGACAGACTCGAGATGAAGAACTCCCATATAGCACAAGCATTGGAGTCTTCTAAGAACGACTTCGAAGTTTACCTCGCTCGTTTGGAAATGACGCGGAAAGATATTGAACTTGTTTTTTCGCCGTTATTTGAAAGGCAACGTTGCCGAGATTTCTGTAGTGAGGTAGAAAGCAATGAAGCAGTCGAGACATGTGAATCTAGAGAGGAAAATCACAAAGTTTACGCTAATGAAAGAGAAAGTTATGGCGACATGGAAGAATTGGATTAAACGAGATACAAGATGCTGGATTTCGGGAAACTCGTTTGATTGTGGACGAAGTAGACTTGAATAACAGACACCCAGATTGAGAGGAGCGGTTCAAAAAATTTTTTAAGAGGCATTTAATCAAAACAATGATTCTCTCAGGTGGACTGCAATTTCAGCAATTTCAGAAAAGAGGCCTGAGGAAAAATCAGGCCTCGACGGAATTCGAACCCATGTCTCCCACGTACCCTTTGGACGCAACTACCAACTGAGCTACAAAGCCACAGGCCACAGGGAAAGCCCGGCAAATTTCAGATTTTTAAGAGACTTATATTAAAGGAATCCACCTTTTAGTAGTATTTTTATGGGTTTGGGTGACTTTAAAATCTACCTTATTTTCATTCCAAAAAACTGATTATTAAAAATGTCACATAGATCAAGTTTGTCGATCGTATTACGTCAATTTTCGTTCGCTCTTGTAGTTGTACTTCTGACCTCAAAATCTTCAGGAGGTTATCTTCAATGTTTCTATATAATCCTTATTGTATTCCTTTGACTCATAATATTTATTTTTCATTTGAAAACAATACTTTCGGATAAGCACGTTCTCTCACAAACCTTAATGGTGTCTCGGCAACAATCCTTCTAACAATCCTGTTTAAGCAACAGCGTTATCGACAATCGTTAATTAATTCTTGCCTGTGTATTTGTAGCTAGCTGGTTTGCTGTTGAATATCGGTTAAAAATCCGATTATTGGTTTCCTGTGGATACAGTTTTGCGAGTATGGCTTTTTGTTGTTTAGATGATACATATTCTTCAAGGTTTTCATTGCATTTCGTACGAAGCTTCTGGAGCCATACTTCAAGACTAATTAATAAACGTACGGTGCCTAAACCGTTATAGGGAACATTGTTATGTACATTCTTGAGAGTTGAGAGCTATGCACGGTCTTATAAACAATTGGAATCGCTTCTACCAGTCCCATAAGCGAGACTCGTGTCCATGAGCCAAATTGAATAATTCTTACCTTTCGATAATACGTTCTTCATGTTTTCTTAGATTTTAAGGTGTTTTCGCACATGATTGTTCTACATAGTCAATGCCTTTCACGGAGCCTCGTTGTTTTGAGAATCACAACGAGAGAGGAACTTCCAGTTCCAAGTTCAGTTATGTACGACTGCTTCCAGCTTAATTCAAAACTGAATTGGCTGGGTAACCATGCTTACTGTAAGAAAACATAGCAGCTCTCGCTACTGCTTCAACTAAATTATAACAAAAGACTGCCCCCTGATATGACAAAATTTACACCGTTTTCTTCCATTTTTGCACACTTCTATATTAGCATATGGCAGTTTGCAGCCTTTCCCTAAATCTAGGCAGTTCGGAAAGCCGCAAAACACTAGAACAAAAATTTATCTTCCGAACCAGCTCTCTTGATCCCCACGGTATCAACGATTGCTTTTCATTCAACTAATTTAGTCTTGTTTTCTCGTCACCATACTCCCGCCAATAGCGTAGCTCCATTTTCTGCTTAGGAACCCACACACAACCCACAATTCCTCCAATCGCTTTGACGAAGGGCTGACGCCCGAAACGTCTACCTTGAAACTCTTTATGGTGGCCACTTACGTTTTCAACTCAGTTGTTACCACTGTTACCGACGCAACTTCACAATTTCTTTTTCTTTAGAAAATTACCCCCTTTACACAAAATAAATAGGCTGGTCTTCACTGCTTTATTGTAGCGAACAAGTTTTTGTTGTATGTAACACACGTTTTTCACATTGGCATACTTATGAAGTAAATATTTAGACAATCCTGGTGGTTTTTACAATTTTTTAACAATCTTTTTAAAAAAAATTTTATTTTTTTTTAAACTTAACTATTGGGCAGCACTCTGCGAACAGTAGTTGTAAAACTTCTTTATTCTACGACGCGTTTCGTCCAACTGTTGTAGACTGAAACCGTGGCCCCAAATATTTTTCTCTCCTTGCCCAAAAAATTTTCGAATTTTTTTCACGAATTCGCATGATCCTGTTCGTATGTAAGGCCAAGCTTTTATGGTCATTGGTCCCCGTGTAGTCGCTAAATATGGCTTATAGATACAGGTGTTTAGTGTTAACTTATAAAACTCCCTGAAGAATTTAAAGACAGTTAGATAAAACGCGTCGGAGATTAAGGAAGTTTTACAACTACTCTTCGCAGAGTGCTGCTCACTAGTTTAGTTTTAAAAAAATTGTTCAAGTCAATACTACTAGAAGCCACACAGTGAACGAAACTGATTATAGTCGCTCCGGACCAAAACGCCGCCAATCTTCAGCCCCGTTAGATCCAGAGCCACGTGCAGTAAGCATTTCTTCCAGAATCGACTCCACGTA